ATTCAGAGAATCAAATTTGAAGTTGGAAAAAAAAAGTAACCTCCAAAACTGTTGCTCTTCATCTAAAGGTTCAACCCGCTGGGGTACTATGAAGGTCACATGGAAACCTTGGGCAAATGCTCTGCAAACCAGAAAGACCTCTGTGAAAGTGAGCTGCTACATGGATCAGGATCTTCAGAAGTATGGCTGCCCCTGAGATCACAAGGCCACCCTAAGAATAAGTCATGACTTAAGGAAAGGGGGCCAGCAGGGAAGCGGAAGGAAGTACAAGGACACAGGCAATGAGGGGGTCCACTAGGAGGCCGAGCTACTTCGCCCAACCTCACACCTGGACCATCAGTGGTTATCTTGAGCCTGGGTGCTCTTGGCATCTGCCTGTCCCACTCCAACTTCTTTCATCAGCCAAAAACACAATAACAAACAAGGCCTATTATATGCCCACCTCATTCCCAGCCCCACCCACAGCTCGCCTCCTCACTCAGACAGGTTTAATTGTGGACATGGAGCAATTGTTCCTCAGGCCCAAGCCTTAAGTAGCACTGTCACCAACTTAAAACAAAAAATCCCTCAAGACAATGCTTTTAATCAACAGTTGAAGTGAATGTGTTTCTACAAAGTTTTGAGAGGTCTGGCAATCAGGGAAAGCCTTGAGGTCTATCTGCCTGCAGCTGAGATCCTGTATTTTATTATGATGCTCTCAATTTCCTTTCCCATACCTCTTCACTCACAGATAATCAAATTTTGTTGTCTACCTCAGAAGTATCTCCAAAGGGCTCTGCTGTGGTCACCTCCAGCTGTCGGGACCAGAAGAGTGGTTCCGTGGTCCTGGTTCCTCGTTCTGGGTCCTCTCTGAGCCAGAGCCAGGCATAGGCACACACAAGCTCCACAGTGGGTTCCTGCCAATGTGCCCCTCCCTGACCTGCAGGCCTTAGGCATCTACATTAAAAATGGCTACAAATACTATGCCCCTCTTTCCACTGAGAGGTGTCTATGTCCCTTCCCCTTGAGTCTGGGCAGGTCAGTGGCTGCTCTGACAAATGGAGTACAACAGAAGTGTTGTTGTGCCAGTTTAAATGTCTAGGCCTTAAGCCGGCAGCTTGCACTTCCTGGCTTTTGGAATATCCAATCTTGGAAACCAGCTGTTAGGCTGTGAAAAAACCCCAATAGCCCATGGAGAGGAACCAAGGACTCTGACCAACAGCCCTAACTAAGCTCCCAGTCAGTCAGCAGGCAGCTGCAACTTGCCAGCCGTGAGTGGGTCATCTCAGAGTGGATCCTCCATCCCCATTCGAGCTGCTCCAGCTAATGTCTTGTGAAGCAGAGATGAGTCTCCCAGATGAGCCCTGAATTCCTGGCCCACAAAATGTGACAAAAGTTGGTTGTTTTAAACCACCAAGTTTTGAGGTAGTTTATTATACACCAATAGAAGCCAGAACACTCTGTGTGTGCGTGTGTGTGTGCGTGTGTTACCATGACAAGGTATAGACCTTGAAATATTTTTAGTTCATTTTCAAGCCACACCTCTAGGGAAGGAATACTCTAGGGCAGAGGTCAGCAACAATAGCCATAGACCAAATCTGACCTGCCACCTGTTTTTGTATGGTTCATGAGCTAAAAATGATGTTGCATTTTGAAATGACTGACAACAAATCAAAAGAAGAATAATTTTTTGTAACATGTAAAAAATACATGAAATTCAAATTTCAGGCTCAGTGTCCACAAGTAAAGTTTTATTGGAACAGTGTCCATGGAAAGACCATTCATTTACATACTGTCTATAGTTACTTCCAAACTACACCAGCAGGGCTGAGGAGCTGCAACATAAACAGTATGGCCTACAAACTCTAAAATATTTACTATCTGGCCCTTTGAGAACATGTGTGCCTGTTTTAGAAAATGCTCATACCCTGAGGGGTGCACACAACCCCCAACGCAGACCAACTTAGGATCTAAGGGAAATTTCCAAGGCCCCACAGCCATAGAGAGCAGAAAAGTCCTTCTTCACAGAAAAGCTTCCTGTTTCACCTGATTCCCATCCTGGTCAGCCAAGATGCCCTTATTCTCTGGGTTGTTCCCCAAAAGGAGATACAGCAGAGTTCTAATTTTGGTTCTCAGGTAATCAAATACATTAGCAAAATGAGGAGTCCGTGAAACACCTTATAACATGGATGAATCTGGAGGACATTATGCTGAGTGAAATAAGGACAAACATTGTATGGTCCCACTATTATATAAAGTCAAGAATAGATATACACACAGAAAGCAATGTTCTTTGATGGTTACTAGATATGGGAGGGGAGAAGAAGGGGGAATCACTTTCTAGATAGTAGACATTTGCTATTTTTGGTGATGGGAAAGGTAATACCAAATATGGGTGAAATCAGCATAAACTGACAAAGGTAAATAATGACTCTAAGAAGTACATAAGATAAAGCGACAATTTCAGTAAATGCTATAACACACAATTTTGTAACAACAGTAACGACAACCAAAAAACCTGTATGGTTACTTAGGAAGATACGTATGCAAGTATGTGTATAGGAAGGTATATGCAAGTAAATGCAAGGGCAGGTATCTACAGGCATAAGTATATACAGGTTTCCCCTGCTATCTAAAAGTAAAGCGTCCCTATGAAATGTTTGGTAAGCCGAAACGGTATAAAGAAGCAATTACCATTAATTTATATGCGGATATTTTTTGAGCATTCCTAGACCCAAAAAAAACCCTACCAAATAATGCATAAAACCCTTATGAGCTCTCTTAGGGTTTTCTGATACCTAAGGACACATCTTGCTAAGGATGCACAAGATAAATTGAGATAAAGCACAGATGCTCACAGACACAGTTCAAAGCTATGGTGGCTTGATGCTGAGTGTAGTTGCTGGGGAAGGAGCTTGGTGACACCACTTTGGCTGCTCGGGGTGCGTGCTCTTTACTGGCTTGCTTCAAAACAAACGCTGAACGCTATTTTCGCTTTTTTTCATAAAAGCAAAAATCCTCTTCGGGTTTCTTTTGATTAGCAAAAACAGGTACTAATGTAGGTCTTTTGTAAGAGCGAAGTAGTGTAAAGTGAACTTTTGAAAAGCAGGTGATTAAAAAAAAAAGAAAAGCAGGTGATATTTGTACATGTTTGTGTGTGCTGCATATATTCATATGCCTAACAAAGCACATAGAGGGCACAGTTACGGAGGCTTCCCAGACGTATCCTAACAATTCACAGGATGGGTTTACTGGGTTAAAAAGCTTGGGATTACAGTCTCTGGGACAACTTAGTCAACTGGCATAACATAGTTCATAAAGATAACGTTCCACATGCTAGTTCGGTGAGTAATATCTGGGGTATTAAAAGCTTACAAGCAGCCATCTAAGATACAACTATTGGTCTCTACTCATATGCAGCAAAAGAGAATGAAGGAAATCCAAGGCTCAAAGAAGAAACTAGTTTACAGGACTAATACCCTACACGAACTGTCTTAGTCATCTAGTGCTGCTCCAACAGAAATACCACAAGCGGATGGCTTTACAAAGAGAAATTTATTCTCTCACAGTCCAGTGGGCTACAAGTCCAAATTCAGGGCATCAGCTCCAGAGGAACGCTTTCTCTCTCTGTCGGCTCTGGAGGAAAGTCCGTGTCATCAGTCTTCCTTTGGTCTGGGAGCTTCTCTGTGCAGGAACCTCAGGTCCAAAGGACGCGCTCTGCTCCCAGCACTGCTTTCTTGGTGATATGAGGTTCCCATATATCTCTGCTCACTTCTCTCTTTTATATCTCAAAAGAGATTGCATTAAGACACTAATCTTGTCAACCTTATCAGTATAACCTCATCACAGCCATAGAATTTACAACACATGAGGAGATCCCATATAATCTCATGGTAGTGGTAGAGTTTACAACACATAAGGAAATCACATCAGATAACACAATCATACAATACTGGGAATCATGACCTAGCCAAGTTGCTACACACATTTTTTGGGGGACACAATTCAATCCGTGACATGAACCAAAGCCTCTTCTATCCTGAGACCAGAACTAGACGGTGCCCGGCTACCACTACTGACTGTTTTGACCGGGGACACAATAGAAGGTCCTGGATAGAATGGGAGAAAAATGTAGAACAAAATTCAAATTCCTAAAAAAAGTCCAGACCTACTAGACTGGCAGGGACTAGAGAACCCTCGAGACTACTGCTCTATGATACCCTTTGAACATGGAACTGAAGTTATTTCTGGAGGTCACCTTTCAGCCAAATAACAGATTGGCTTATAAAATAAACAGTATCACCCGAGAGTAATGTGCTCCCTTAAACAATCAACTATGTGAGACCAAACAGACAACATCTACCCAAAAGCAAAGATGAGAAGGCAAGGAGGGGAAGGGAAGCTGGATCAATGGAAAGAGAACAAACAGAATGGAAATACTGAGAATGCTGACACGTTGTGAAAACTGTAACCAATGGCACGGAACAATTTGTATAAAAATTGTTAAATGGGAACCTAATTTGCTGTGTAAATTTTCACCTAAAACACAATAAGATATTATTTAAAAAAAAAATACATTAGTAAACATAATCACCAATTTAGAGCAAAACCCCTATATTTACTTATACCTTATTAAAAAAAAAAAAGTTCAAAGCATTTAAGAGTTCTGTATTTTATGAGTTTAGCCCCATGGTTTATGAAAGGCGACCTTTTCCTATATATACAACAGGCCCTTCCACGAAATCTCTAACTCAGTGACCACGAGAAACTTCCAGAGTACAGATGTAAAGGCTTTTCAATGATGACATCCTCAAAATGGGAGCAGGAAGGTTTAGGATGCTATTCTGAGATATATGAGGATTCTCTTATAAACATAAGTAACTGCTCCCCTCCTAAGGGGCACTTAGCAGGCCCTAGAAGAATTGAGTTCAGAATTGCTGAAGTTTAGAATTGAGAAGGAAAAGGCATCAGAACTAAAATGGAAGATGAGAACTCTTCCTCATTTATGCTTTATGTCTCACCTTGATAACTTCTCCATTGGAGGCAATTAAATCTGTTGGAATGGTCACTCGAAATGAGCGTCCAACAACAGCCGTGCCATCAGGAATGCCAACCACTGTGGGAACAGCCTCACGGAGGTCTGAGAGCACTGAGTGCATGGACGCCTCGAGCTGGTTCTCCCAATCCCTGACGGTCTCCGAGGGTTCACTGGGCCAGCGGGACTGAGCCAAGGCCACCAAGAGCAGAAGGAGAAAGGTCCTCCCCCAGAGTGGGGGCAGCAGCAAGAGGCTCCCAGACATCCTCGTCCTGGGCCCGAGTATGCTCAAGCCAGTGATCTCTCTAAGGAAGGAAGAGAGCGACGTGGTCCCAGAGCTGGGTCCTCACCCTCTGCACACCTGCTCCATCCCAGAGCACCCAGAGCCTGAAAAAGAAGAATAATAGACTCAGACTTCAGTAACTCCTGTTGTTTCAAACTCATATATAGGCAATTACTATCCCTCAAGTGTTCCTGCCAAAAACATCTATTCTGAGTCAAATCAAGCCTCTTACCCTGCAATATCCAGCACAGAAGTCACCAGCAACATGTAGCTGCTGAACTAGAAAAGTGGCTGGTCCAAACTGAGAAATGCTTTAAGTGTAAAATACACGCTAGATTTCGAAGACTTAGTACAAAAGGAGAACGTAAAATAGCTCATTAATACTTTTTAAATATTGATTATATATTGAAATAACATTTTAGATACACTGAGTTAAATAAAATATATCATCAAAATTAATTTCACTTGCTTATTTTTATTTTTTTCATGTGGCTACCAGGAAATTTTAAATGACATATGAGGTTCACATTATATATCTGTTAGGCAGGGCTGCTCCAGACCTAACTTCCAGTTTACAGGAAATACAGGGGCCATGAAAGACAATCAGGCAAATCCAGAATGTGGGACCTTCTATAAAACGAATGGCCTGGTCACTTCAAATGTCAACACCACTAAAAGCAAGGGGACTATTCCAGATTTAGAGACAGCACCCAGATGCAGTGTCTGCATCTTGACTGGATCCTGGATTTACAGCTCATGACACCTGCTTTAGGTCAGCAGACACCCAGACGCCGTGTGGGCCTTGCTGGCTCAAGGGTGCCCACAGGTGACCACAGCCATCATGAGCAATTTCCCACTCTGGAAAAGGATTAAACCCCGGCTGTCGAGAGTCCATGTACCATCTTTCGACCTGGGGAATGCAAAGTAAATAAACTTGAAACTGTTAAGGAAAACAAGGCCACTGAAATGAACAGCATATTCTATGGTGCAAATTCCAATAGTTTTTTTTGTTGATTTTGCTGTTCCTGTTTCTTTTGTGTTTGAACATAACAAAACAAACAAAAACATTGCCACAGAGTTGATTCTGACTCATAGTGACCCATGTGTGTCAGAGGAGAACTGTGCTCAATAAGGTTTTCAATGGCTAATTTTTCAGAAGGAGATCACCAGGCCTTTCTTCTGAGAAGCCTTAGGGTAGATTCAAACCTCCAATCTTTTAGTTAGCAGTTGAGATTGTTAACTACTTGCACCACCCGGGGATTCCTGAACTTAACAAACTCAACCTAAAATTCAAGAAACAGCCAAAGACCAAGAAAGTAAACAATTAAGAAGGTGGTAGTCTTGCCTTACCAAACATCAAGATTTATCATAAAGCTACTGTATTAAGGCAGTGTAACATGAGGCAGGTGGACAAGTGGACTATGGAACCAGAGAGGGAGCCCAAAACCAACTTGCAAAGGAATTATTCAATCAAAGGCTTAAGGTACCTGGCTGGCGCAAACGGTTTGCACTCAGCTGCAAACCAAAAGGATGGCGGTTTGAACCCACCCAGTGGCACCACAGAAGAAACTGGCCTGGTGATCTGTTTCCATAAAGATTACAGCCAAGAAAACCCTATGGAGCAATGCTACTCTAGAACACACGGGTTCTCCTAAGTCACAAATCAGCAATAACAAAATCAACAATCAAAGGCTCCAGACAAGCAGCCATCTATGGGGCAAAAAATGCAGTTAGGTTCCTCTCTCACTTCTCTATCACAAATAAAAGAAAACCCAAGTAGATTAGGTATCCAAATGTGAAAAGCAGAACTCTAAAATTTTTAGAAGAAAATCTGGTAAAATGTCAGGATAAGGAAGCATTTAAAAAGACAACCAAACTTCCACTTCTGGGAAGATGAAATAGATATATTTTTCCCTATTCTTTCCACTAAGTACATCTAAAAATCCTGGACATTGTGTATATATATGACTCTAAAAGGTAGAGAGAAAAACGCAGACTGGCGAGGGACATCAGGACTTGAGGAACGACACAGCGGTGAGTCATCTGGGTTTTCTTTTTGTTTCATATAACCCAGGATTAGAGTTGAAGAAGCTGGCAACTCAAGAAATGCCAACAGCTCAACCAAAAAAAAAAAAAACCCCAACACAAGCCTGCTCTTTCTAGACAAAAGACAAAGAAAATTATTAGAGACAGAAAGGGACATTATATAATGATAAAAGGGTCAATCCACTAAGAAGACAAAGCAATCTTAAATGTGTATACACCAAACAATAGAGCTGCAAAATATGTGAAGCAAAAACTGACAGAACACAGACAGAACTGATTAGGCTGAGTGAAATAAGTCAGATACGAAAGAACAAATATTGTATGATCCCACTTAGAAGAACAGGAAAATGTATACAGACTAGTCATTAGTGGTTTCCGGAGGCTGGTAAGAAGCGGTAGTGGGTGGGTGCGTGGGGGGTTACTGCTTCAGGGTACAGAGTTTTTGTTAAGAGTAATGAAAACATGTGGAAATGGATAGTGGTGACTGTTGCACAACACAGCGAATGTAATTAATGTCATTCAATTATACACATAAAAATAGTTGGAATGTTTTGTTACGTGTATTTCACCACAATAAAAAAATTTTTAAAAAACTGATAGAACTGAAAGGAGAAATAAACAAATACACAATTATAGTTGGAACCAACACTACTGTCTCAACAACTGACAGAACAACTACAAAGAAAATCAGCAAGGATACATCAGAACTCAAACATACCATCAGCCAACAAGCTCTAATAGACATTTATAGAACACTCTACCCAACAAAAGCAGAACACACATTTCTTTTCAAGTGTCCATGGAATACATACCAAATAATCCACATTTAGTACCATAAAACAAAGCTCAACAAATTTAAAAGAACTGAAATCATACAGAATGTGTTCTCTGATCATCATGGAATCAAACTAGAAATCAGTAACAGAAAGATAACAAGAAAATCTCCAGACACTTGGAAACGAAACAACATCTAAATAATCCCTGGGTCAAAGACGATCCTCAAGGGAAATAAAAAATTATATTGAACCGAATGAAAATGAAAATACAAAATATGAAAATTTGTGGAACACAGCTAAAGCAGCACTTAGAGGGAAATTTATAGCACTAAATGTACTAGAAAAGAGGGAAAGTCTCAAACTAATAGTCTGTGATCCCACCTCAAGAATCTAGAAAAACAAGATCAAAATAAACCCAAAGCAAGCAGAAGGAAGAAAATAATAAAGAGCAGAAATCAATAACCTTATTCTTTTCTATACATTTTAACTCTTATTCAATCAATGGCTCAGCTCAACCAATACCCTACAAGACTGTAAGTTGTGAGAGGGCAAGACATGTCTGTTCTGATCACTGATGTGTGCCCTGCACTCGCACAGGGCCCGATACACACCTAATGAACAAATGCAGAAGACAAGAGGACTTTGTTTTACTTCCTTCCTATGTCCTTACTCCTTTGTTTACTTACTTCGCTATTAAAGGCAATTGATCTTTTACTTTTCTAATCTGGTTTTCCATTTAAAAGTCTCAGTTTATTTGAAAAGAGCATCAGTTATGAGACACACCCTGCCCTACCGGGAGCATAAGCTCAGCTGGCTATCTGCGGCTACATGACGACAGGGGGTGTCTGTTTCATGGGCATGACTAAGTGCTCTGCATTTAGCAGGCAGGCGATGTCTGGGGCACAACTCCAACTCCTCTGTGTTGGTTTTCCATGCTCTGGGGAGAAAAGATCCTTTTGCAACTTGGCAAAAAGTAGCCTTGTATCTTTCTTGCTTTCTATAAGCAAAGGTCACGTCTGCCCATGCCAGGAATCTGGCAGGCTGTATCTCCACACCCATATTAGGACTTGTTTAGGAGTAACCCCACCCCTCCAGGGGTCCCTCTGGTAGGTTTTTAAATGTAGTCTGATATTCACACACTCAGTCATTTGGAGATGGAGGCATTGCAGAGACTTTCCTTCTCGTTTTTTAGAGGCCATGGCCCACCACAGGCAAAGCATTTGTGGCCAGAACACGGTGGGAGGAAAAAGCACTCAGGAACCACAGAAAGACTATAGCTAGAGTTACCTGGTCTCCCTAACACAGCCACCCAGTGTGACACTCTACACACACATGCACACGCACACACACACACACACTACACCCTCTGAACACCAGGTGGTGCTCAGAGCAGCCCAAGAACATATCTTAGCTGAAATCACCACTGCCTGGCTGACAGGAGCTGCCAAAACTCTCATACTGAGAAAGAGGTACTGGAATGGGGCACACATCCCTCCGTGCCAGCACCCAGAGTGGTGCTCGCCATGAAGTCCAAGCTCACCATTGTCCTAGCCCCCAATAAAATCTAACTCTGCGAAGAGAGACCTTCCCAGAGCACTGGTGAAGCCCCTGAATGCATACCCACCAGCCATGACATACAGGGTGATAGATGGGGACAGCTGCCAGGGAGCAGTTCCATCTCTCAATCCAGAATGTTTCACCCCAGGGGACAGAGAAACCTTAAAAGTGCTAGAGTCTGCGAAGGCTGGACACAGCACAGCCCCCTCGATCACTGCCATTCTACTCCCTCTTCTCTCAGTAAAAGCCTGTGCTCCTGCCCCAAGAGCACCAATACCAAGGAAGAGAGCTCCAGAGCCCCCTAGATACACATCCCACCCCTCCCTGGGCCAGCTGCACATTCAGCACTGAGGAAGCTCTTCTACAGAAAGCTAGCTGAAGGGAGGAAGAATATCTGCGCAGGGGACCTCCACCAGGCTACTGGGAAATGAGTTGCCAATGATGAAAGGACAGTCTGGGGTGAGAAGGTCAAGGAGCCCCAGCCCCTATGACTCACTGCAAGGAGGTACACTCTGAGGAACCAGAGTCAGCAGGTCCCCCATGTCTGCCAATGGCCACTCCAATGCTCTCTTTCCCAGCTGTGACCAGGAGAATTCTCCAGTGATGGGTGGATGTAAAAAGTCAAGTTTTCAGAGGTGGCTAAAAGGTGGTGCCCTATGTAAACCAAAACACATAAACGTTGTCCTGAAGGCAAGTACATTTCAAGCTTACCAGATCAGTCAGCA